GGATATGTTCCAGGTCATATTTTGCCTCTCGTGGACTTGTTTTCATTTTCTTCAGCTTTAGCCTGAATTTGCATATGAGCAATTGATGGTCTGTTCCACAGTCTGCCCCTGGCCTTGTTTTAGCTGATAATATGGAACTTTTCCACTGTCTGTTTCCACAGATGAAGTCAATTTGATTTTTGTGTATTTGACCTAGTGAGGTTCATGTGTATAGTGCTTTTTTCTTTTTATGGTGTTAAAAAAAAGGTATTTGCAACGAACAAGTCATTGGTCTTGCAAAATTCTATATGTGATCACCAGCATCATTTGTATTACCAAGGACATATTTTCCAACAACTGATTGTTCCTTTTTGTTTCCAACATTTCCATTCCAATCACCAGTAATTTTCAATACATCTTGATTGCATATTTGATCAATTTCAGACTGAAGAAGTTGGTAGAATTCTTCAATTTCATCATAACTGACTTTACTGGTTGGTGCATAAATTTAAATAATAATTGTATTAACTGGTCTTCTTTGTAAGCATATGGATATTAGCCTATCACAGACAACATTGTACTTCAAGACAGGTCTTGAAATGTTCTTTCTGATGATGAATGCAACACCATTCTTACTCAATTTGTCATTCAAAGACTAGTAAGCCATGTGGTTGTTAAGTTCAAAATGACCAATACCAGTCAATTTCAGCTCATTAATGCCTAGGATATTGATGTTTATGTACTCCATTTCATTTCTGACTTCTAATTTTCCTAGATCCATCCTTTGTTCCATGTTCCAATTATTAATGGATGCTTACAGTTTTTTCTTCTCATTTTGAGTTGTGCCCACAAATTAAGGCCCTTAAAGTTTTACTCCATTCTCCTCATCACAGTCAACTCTACAGTGTGGAGGCAGCTTTTCCCCAGTTGTATTCTGAATGCCTTCCATCCTGAAGTGCTCATTTTCTGGCACTATATTTGACAATATTCTGGTGCTCTTCAACAAGTTTTAATATTCAATATTCTACTGTATCTGACAGTGTTCCACTCCTATTCATAAGGTTGCCAGTGACTGAAACAGACTAGGAAGTAGACATGGACTACTACTGAATATTTAGTCACTGAAAACCTTATGAAATTTATAACTAGGGTTTTTGTTGTTGTTGTTGTTGTTATGTGCTGTGGAGTCGGTTCCAACTCATAGCAACCCTGTACAGGGTTTCTGAGGCTGTCAATCTTTACGGGAGCAGAAAGCCTCGTCTTTATCCCATGGAACAGCTGGTAGTTTTAAACTGCTGACTCTGAGGTTCGCAGCCCAATTCGTAACCACTAGGCTACCAGAGCTCCTTAACTAGGGTACTCGTGTTTTAAAGATCTGTAATCAAATAAAGATATTTGATTTCTTAACCTAATCAAATGTATCCTCTAGACTGGTTTATCACTAAAAAAAAAAAAAAAAAAGTTAAGAAAGCATAAAGCAAATCAACTTAAGTCTCTGAAGTAACCATTTGCTAAAAGAATGGACAAGTAAACATTGTATTCGTGCTGCTATCACAAAAGTATAAGTGGATGAAGTTTAAATTCAGGGTGTCAGCTGTAGGGGGTAGCTTTCTCTCTCTCTGTTAGCTCTGGGGGAAGGTTCAAAATATGTGGGCCCTGCTTTCCTGGGAGATATCTATGTGTGTCTTGGCAACAAGCTTTTCCTGGGTCTAGGAGGTTTTATGCTTAGGGACCCTCAGTTCAAAGGACATGCTCCACTTCTGGCTCTTCTTTCTTGGTGGGAGTAAGGTTTTTCATTCTTTGCTCACTTTTTTCTCCTTTTATTTCTTGTAAAATAAAAAGTGATGTAGGCCACACCTAAGGTACACTACCATTAGATCAGATGGGGGTGACTTGAATTAGAGTGTCATATTCTACCCTAATTTCCTTGC